TATAAGTATGCAATATAATTAGAATATTCGGTATAGAAAGCAAATGGATGGATTCAATTCGAATCGGTATATAATTAGCTTAATATAGTATACTCAATACTCCTATCGTTATTAAATATAACCTCAAATGTGATCACCTTATTATGAGAAAGTAACATATATCATATATGGCCATATATAGTTGGTAAATATAGAAAAAAAAGATTTCAAATGTAGCTTAAGTGGAGTCTTATTAGTTCTCTGAGCTACAGTTAAAATCTTTTTTTTTTTATATTTACCAACTAACATATAACCTAAAAAACTATTGTGTTAAAAATAAATTAATAGATAATAAAAAGATTAGACAGATAACAGTTCTTGGACAAGAAAAAGCGGACACATATACGTGACACACACATATATATATATATCTGTTGAAAATCTACTCATAATTTTTGATATAAGCAGTTCTAACCTTTCATAATAGCAACATAGTTCTTATAGATGGCAATGTATAAAAGTCACTTCTAATAACAACGTTTTTATAAATCTTATATAGATCAAAAATAAAAAAAAAAATTGGTTAACAATATCTTATATGTGCATTTATACTTCTAAGTTTACTACGTATATACTATATTATATATATAATGTATATATGAATATATTATTCATTTTATGCTTATAAACATAAACGAAAATAACTGAAATTTCTCAAAAGTTTTCATATCAATATACTGTATTGCCACGAGTTTATTATAAGGTGCCAAATGCATTATTAAATACTCTACATAGCAGATCTTACCGCACTGGATCTGTGATTATGATTCGTTGGCATATAGTTAGAAATAGGTCAGCAGAATTTGACGGATATTCTTTATTTCAGCATGGAGAGTTTGTAGATTCTCTATATAAGCACAATACACTGAGTAACGGCAAGAAAAACATTCCAATGGTGATAAATCACATGATCTTGTTGGCTAAATCACATCAACAATTACACGTCTTCAGAACTCCTTCGTGATAGATAGTCGCACTTACATTAAATTTCAAGGTACGTCAATTGAAAGTAACCGATGGTCGATTATATCTACACAAACGGTAGTGCAGACGCTTAATTTTTTCTGGACACTCAATACTGTGAATTTTCGTAGGACCTCTTCGCTTAATAATTGGCTTTATATATAGCTCAGTTTTAAGTCACAAGCAGAAGCAGTTTATCTTCCACTGCAGTGCTGATTTTGTTCAATACGCAATATGATCGTTCATTTTACCAGTTGAATGGGATCTTAATAAACGCAAGCACCTTTGGCGTTTTGGCTATGAGGCAAGGACTTCGCCCTTCAGATAGATAAAGTTACTGTTGTAAAATTTTTGGGCAATCACAGGGAGTATAACTAAATTTAGTAACTAAATTTTTTTTCTAACATACCTATGCCTTTCGTTGGATTTCAGAATGTTTTAGTCCAAATTAATTGAAGTGGGTTGGACATCAAGAGACAGCCTTTCTTACTCTTCTATTAAATTTTATTTTTATTTTTTGTTTTATCTAATTTTGTATTAAATCTTATTTATTTATTTTAGTTTATATTCTATTTTTTTATTCTATTTTATTTAGTAATGTTAATTTGTATTGATTTAAGTATTAAGAAAAAATATATATGTAAATGAATAAACAATAAATTATTGAAAAATACTTTCCACTGTTTAAATGTGAAATGATATTTGCGTGAATTGTTTTAAAATACTTTAACATTTTTAATTAAAAAAAAAAAAATAATATAATTTTTTTTATTTGTCCATTATTTAAATTGTATGGTAATTCGTGTTAATTATGCGTCAGTAAATAACAAAAATTAAAATTAAATAAAAAATTCATTTTAAATTGATAAAAAATCAAAGCATGTACATTTCAGAAAATATTTATTCAATTTTTCGATTTGTCGTTAGTGGACAAATCCATAACGCGTACCGTGAAGCCCAATGCAGTGGGCTTCACAAAACCAAGAGGATTATGGGTCTCTGAGGTGTTCATAAGCTGTTGTGGTCATGAACAAAACGCAATTTTAAAATTTTTCATTATTTTATGGTTTTTAATTATTTTTCATTAAATTTTCATACAATTTTTGTTTAGTTGCTTTTTTTACACTCGCCTTTGGAATCTTTTTCAATTAATTATATTAAATATTTGTAGAATGGCACTTAAAAATAAATGTAAATTTAATAATTGTAAATAATTGTGAATTTTCAGAAATAAAACAAATATTAAATATAATAACATATATTTTATTTTTTTATTATTTTTCTTTTTTTTATTTTTTTTTTATAATAAATGAAATATTTATTAAACGCAATATTAGTTCAACATTTTTAGTTTTATTTGATTGAAGCTTGCAGAGAGGAAATTAATCCAATGTAATGCATTTCGATATGTTTGTTAATCCCCGGACTTAAAGCAATAACGTTTTTTTTTTACAATTGGGCTTCATTGTCAAAATAAGCTTATCGATACACTCTTGTCTGGATAATCGACTTCAAAGCTCAAAATAAATAAGTAAAAGTATGACTCAAAGCCTTGGTAAATAGAGGTTCTTGTTAGAACACAAGACTCACGTGATTCAAATTGGATATAATTCGCATCAGTCAACTGCTTTAAATAAAGCGGAACCAACATTATACTATAGTATCGGCACTGACTGTGTGTAAGAAAAATATGTATTTAGACTAGATCTACTCTCTAACGACTTCTATCGAGACTGTGGTCTTAACGGCTGAGGAAGAAACTGAAATTCAAACTATGTGTCAGTGCACATCTAGGAGTTAACTAGGAGAATACTTGAAATCTGCTCTGAATGAGTTGTCATTCTTTAAAAGTAAGAACCACGCCAACTATATTGACTATGCTAGGTATGTTCCCTTCTACATTCATGCGGAAACCAAGCGTTCAAAGGGATGCTATTCGTAGATTAGATGATTCTGTAGGTCTGAGGTATAGACAGAATGTTAACAGTGTTTTTCCAAGAGCCCATTAATTATGCCTAAATGAGCTTTTGTGAGCAAGTCTACCACTCCAACTTTACCTAATCCAACTTTCCATTCATTGTTAACAACATAAGCCACTCTGGAATGGTAAAAATGTCTGAATAATGTAGTGGTCACTAACTTTCTTGTACATATATAAGTTGGCTTCTACCATAACTTACAATGTAAATAGTGACCTCCGGATAGATGTTTCGCATTTTTAATTTACATTTATTATAATTTTTAAAAACACTTTTAAAATCCTTTATTCAAATAACAAACTTTTTAATCGATTTTGTAAAACTAAAAAAATCAAGTATGTTTTGAATTATATTAAAAAGATAATCAATCTTGAACTAAAAGGATATACAAATAAAATTTTTATTAAATTTATTATATATTTTTTTAAATTGTTTTCGTTTTGATAATGGATCGAAATTTTATGCATTCTGTAGAACGACGTAGGCGAATGTTCGTACGCATTATCCGCCGTGGGGAGAGAGTTAACGTCATTGATGCTCCGTTTTACTACCGTGATTTAGTACATCTTAATTTCCGACGTGAATCCAATCTGCGAAGTATATAGACAATCACAGCAAGAGGTTTGGTAAGTTAACAATAATCAAAATACAATAAATAATAATCCGGTTATTCAATTGCAGGTATCTAACAACATATCTTTGGGTATTGACCACACTCCTTAACCACTAATTCAGTTATTCGATTGTACTAATCTAATAAATTATTTTTGGATATCGAGTAGATTGTTCAACCAATAATACGGTTACTTAATTGCAGCTATCTAACAACATATCTTTGGACATCGAGTACACTGTTCAACCAATAATACGGTTACGCAATTGCAGATATCTAAGAAGTCTTTGAATATTGAGTGCATTGTTCAACCTTTATTTCGGTTATTCGATTGCAGATATCTAACAACAGATCTTTGCATATCGAGTATAGTGTTCATCCACTAATCTGGTTATTCGATTGCAGGTATCTAACAATATATCTATGGATATTGAGCATACTGTCTAACCAATAATCCGGTTACTCAATTGCAGGTATCCAACAACGTGTTTGAACATGGTTTGCATATTGAGTACACTGTTCAACCATTGATCCGGTTATAGGATTGCAACAATCTAACAACATGTTTTTGGATATCGAGTACACTGTTCAAACATTAATATCATACAAAGCAACTAGTGCCAGACAGAAAAATGTTCGGAGCGTAAGGAATAGAAGATAGGATAGAAGAGACAGCATAGTAGAGAAGATTTGGAGTTTTCATTTCAAAATCAGAAAATGTAAAATTATTTGGATCTAATAAAATTAAACTAATCGTTAATTTTTTTGTTTTAATTTGTTTGCAAATTAAATTTCGAAAACAATTAAATGGAAACTATAGAGATTTTGCAAAGCAAAAATTAATTTTTTACCTTCTATAAAATAAGAATGATTATTTGCTGTATTAAAGATTATATATAAGAAATCCACATAAAATAATGTTGCGATTTCTTTCTGTACACTAAATATAATATGAGTTAGGTTTTGCTATATGTTTGGTGAGATTGGCAGAGAATCATCTACTATAAGCTGCTCCCCTATGGTAAAACTCTTAACTTCGAGCCGTACAGCCAACAATTGAACCTGAATTAATCTGAAAAAAGCAATTACCCAGAAAAGACCAATTTTGTGCAAAAGTAGTGACAACGTCAGGCCACATACATTGATAATGACTCGCCAAAATCTCTGTGGGCTTGGTTGGGAAGTTTCAATGCATTCATCTTATATTCCAGACCTGGCACCACATAATTACCATCTGTTCCTATCCATGGCGAACGATGAAAAATTCGTTTTAAGAGAGACTTGTGAAAATCGACTGTTTCAATTTTTTGTAAAATGGGACAAAGATTTCTATGGCAAAGGCATATAATTATCTTCAAAACTCTAATAAGTTATTGAACATAACGGCGCATATTTGAACTAAATCGGATCAATCTAACTGTGGTAAATAAGAATTTAATTCCAAACAAAAATAATGGATTTCTTTTTACTTTGTCTATTATATTTCAATCGTTTTTACTTTTGACAATATATCAGGTTTAAGACCTGGATTTATTCCTACAATTGTGGTAAGGTGTCCTTCTTCAGCACAACAGAGTTGAGGTTACTTATAGGATATTTAACGGGTCACCATAGACTGCGTTATCACCTTATTAAAATGGGTCTGTTCGAAGAGATAGTTTGTCGAATCTGCTTAGAAGCAAACGAGACCTCCAGTCACATTCTCTGTGACTATCCAACTTTGATCTGCGCCAGGAGAAATTCACTGGATCGAGAACTACTCCCCTTTTCTAACATTAGGAGAAAGTGTCAATGGTTGACACTTTGGCTTTCATTCGGAAGGCGAGATTTTTTTTGTTCCTTTAGGGTCTGTTGCAGCACAAAAGATTAATTATGGTTGCAGCACAAAAGATTAATTATGGCCGCAGTGCTTCGCTCCATTGAGAGATGATACCCGGTTTATTTCTATTCTATTCTACTTTTGACAATATAGTAAAACGCGTATATTAAATGGTTTTAATTAAAAAACACTTCTAAAGAGTAAAGCCAGTCGCTCTAAAGATATATTTATTTCATTCTATTGGATTGTGGTAATTAAAGTTCCACAGTAACCTAACCTGATCTGAGCACTCTTACATTCGATACGAAGTAACTATGGAAAGAATTATATGAGTTCCAAGTAACTCATTGTCGAAAAGAATATGGAGTACTTACTTTTATTTGCTTATATCGAAACATCCCTACTTGAGTATGACACCCTCCTGTTCTCTCTCATTAAACTAACTACTATTATTGGAATTTACAAGTTATAATGGTTGGTTTCTCTAAAACCATAATTACACTTTTTTTTTGTAATTTTTGTAATGTAATTTATTTTTTAACCACTGTAACCGCGACTGGCCTGTGTCTGGCACACTTTATTACCAGCATCGACACTTAATTAATTGCGGTAGCTCAGCTATAATATAAATATTGACAAATTGTCAGGCATGACAGACATTTCAAATGGGAAATGTGAAACGTAAAAAACGAAAATTTAATAAAAAATCCCATAAATGTCCATTTTAAAATATTAACTGCACAATCAGAAAACGCATTAAACGCAATAAATTAATAAACGCAAACAATACAACGGACAGAGTCACGATTACGTTCAATTGATAACCAACAAAGAAGTAAGGAGACACGTCCTGGCGTTGTAGTTTTCGATAATGAAAATTCAATTTTCAATAATTAAAATTATGACCTTTTCGTATTAAATTCAAGGGATTTAAATTGCCTGAGCACACAATAAATAAGCACATTTAACTCTTACCATTATAGGTCATTTGCAGGCAGTTGAAAAATGAGAAACGCTCAGATACTTTATAAATGGAAAAATTTTTATTGACTTTCTGTTACTTTTTAAATGTTACATGTAATATGAAAATAATTCATCTGATAAGGCATCAGAATCACACAAAATAAATCAAGCTCAGTTGTACTTTACAGAATTATGGCTACTTCTTTCAACAGACAAAACGAGACTAACAATTCTATCCGGTTACTGTGGACTTAAAACTGAGTTACAAAAACATAACACCATTAAGACGAGACTGTCAGTCTAACAAAGCTTTAAGTGTATACATAGATGTCTATTGGATTCTTAAATTAATATTTGCAAACTAAAAACTAGATTTAAATGAACATATGTTAGGAGAAGTAATTAGGTAAGACAATTAATGGGTAATTTATAGCCATTTAGAGGAACAGTCATTACTTAAGTTTCAATACTAATTTAAATCATGCTTAAGTCAAAAAATTTGCTAACTTAATTCATATAGAGTCTACAAATAAAACTCTGTTCTGGTATCGCAATGGACCTTAATGGTCTGCGCGTGGCCTCTTTGGCCTGCCATCATAACCCAACCTAACATAATCTAATTTATACTTAAGTCAACTTGTTTACAGTTAAATCGACTTCTAGAGTACAAACTTATATAGAAGACAGCTGCATGCGAGAATTTTAAGTGTATCACTAGAAAAGTACAACTGTTACAGAGTTCTGAAATTGGTTAGATACTACAAATAGACTTACAAAAAATAAAAAAATTGTAACATTTGACGACATTTGGTCTGCTACACTAGCACGTATACCATATTATTGAGACTAGTGATGAAATGCGGTACCCAAACATAAAGCGCTATAGTTAAGAGCCAAAATTTAAGAAATTTTTATTGAAAAAATTAAAAATGAAGACAATGTTAACCTACTGTATGGCGTAACTCAAAAAAAGTTTGTCCTACTTGCCAAAACCGTAAATGGATAATACTACACCAATATCTTGAAACTTTTGGTGCATTATATTCATCGTATTCGTTTAGAATATCGCTTAGAAATAAAATGTGTTTGTTGCATGCTAATAGTATGTATTTTTTGATAATACTTGTGACTTGTTATTTTTTACTAAAAATACTAGTCACAAATAAAACGACAATTACATATTTTTTTATTATTTTTTTTGAATGAAAGAAAAGCTCGAAAGTCTAATCAGTGGGGGATGTCAACCGCCCTAAGAACTCCTTTCGTTCAGACGGAAAGCTTCTTCGGGAACTACCGATAGATAATACGGCTGAAGGCCCACTTATATATAGAATTGTTCTGTTTAGGTATCGATTCACTATATCTTTCATATGTAGATAAATGAAAATCGTTTTGTGATTGTTTGTATAGCTATTCTAAAGTACGTATCACCCAATAATTTAAAACATGGTTTCATATTATACAAAACACTATGTTGAATTTAAAGGATGCTATGTTGTTAGGAATAAATCGATTAAGCTCAAAAAATTTCTTTTTCTATGCTCCTTAGACAAAATAAAAAAATAAAAAAAATCGCACATAAGAATGCTCCTTAGATATATTATTATTTTAATGTTGAGCCAAAGTTATGTCAAAGTCGTCACAATTTACAATAAAGCGTACTAAAAAAACAATAAATAATTTTTTACCAACCTAACATACTTACTTGCCACGATTTGACCATAACAACCCGGTACCTGGTTTCGACCTATGACAAAATATTTCTCCAGGCGCCAGTGTTACGTGCACGCCTTCTCCGGTCTCGTACATATTAAAGTAAATGCTTCCCCAACATCATCACTTTATCGGAGACACGACTTATTATAATCGAAAGTGATTCCTGTCGACTCTGTCATGAGGAGAAGGAAACATCAGAACATGTTCTATGCAACTGCCCAGCGGCGGCAAGACGTAGACTCGATTACCTTGGTAGTGGGATCCTGGTCCCAAATCAAATAGGTAAAATTAAGCCCACTGCAATTATAGAATTTATAAATAGTCTAAAATTGTCCTAGTATTGCCTATAGGCGCACAATAGATCTTTTAGGTCGGGGTGCACAAATATTTATTTTAAATAGTAATATTATAATCGATTGGTAAATCAGCCGGCCCACTTTGAGTTATATATCTATATAGAATGTGTTCTTTATAGTCTATTTTTAAAAACAATTATTCACCGTTTGATTTCTGATAGCGGGAGTAACAGGGCATCATTCAAAGTACATCATAATTTAAGAAACAGGTTTTCTTTTAGAGATATATCTTTTTAGAGATATATCTAGGTTTGTAGGTTTTACCGCCGATTTCGATGAGCTTGGCTGATCCTCCTCACTCACACGCTCTTTGTTTATTTTTGCATTGCTTGTTTTGTATATTGTATATTTTGTATTATTATTAAAGAGTTATATAAAAACGTTAGTGAATTAATATAGGTTAAAATCCTACTCTACTGCGGACTTCAAATAGCATTTCTCAGTTTTATGTGCCATAAAATGTCAAAATATTATTGTCGACAACAAGCGAATGGGCGGGCGGCACCGTAAACGAAACATATGACGGCGGTTATCGAAATACCCTGTATTTAGTAACAAACTTTAAATGTTTAAATTATCAGGCAATAAAATATGATTTTACGATCGATTCCATATATTTTTTTCCTGTGTTTCTGTACAGTATACCTTGCATACGAATATTTTTTTTTGAGTGTCACTCGTTTAATTTTATTTCTTTATTTTAATTACTTTTTTCTGCTGCAGTTCTCGTACGAAATTGTTCGAGTTTTAATATTTATTGTGTGGGCAACCGCATATAAATGGGGCTGAACTATGTTAAAAAAATAAAAATATTTTCATAAATAAAAATAATCAAACTCGTAAAAAAGATACCCTTTAGTGTGGATGCGTTTGTGTGTGACGGCGTGTGGCATGTGTGGCAGGTTT